GGTAGTAGTAACTGGTCTTCCTTGTAAGGGTACTTCCTCTTGGCCTCTATTGTTTTGGATGATAAATCCACTGTAATTTTAATTGCTTTTTCCTTATGATATGTTGTCATTTTTTTGTGTGTGGCTGCTTTCAAGAATTTTTCTTTGTCTTTATTTTCCAGAGGTTTAATTATGATATGTGTTGGTGTGAATTTCTTTGAGTTTATTGTTTTTGGGCTTTTTGCTCAGCTTCTTAAATTTGTAGGCTTAGATACTTTGCCACATGTGGGGAGTTTTCAGCCATTATTTGAGTATTTTTTTTCAGCCCTACTCTATATCTTCTTTCTTTGGAACTCTGATGACATAAATGCTAAATCTTTTGCTATGGAACCATAAGTCTCTGAGGGTCTGTATTATTTCCCTTGAGTTTATTTTTGCTCTGTTGTTCTGATCAGGTAATTTTCAATTGGTCTCTCTTCCATTTCACTGATTTTCTTCTTTTCCCTTCTTTCTGTTGTTGAGTCCATCTACTTAACCTTACCTACTGAACCAAGGATTTTGTTTTACTTGGATCCACAGTCAGTGTCCAGCAGTCAGGAAATCAAATGATGTATTGGGTAAATATGCTACAAAAGACCTCTTTAAACTGTTAAAAAGTGAAAATTTCACTTTGAGGACTAAGATGCACCTGACCCAATCCATGTGTCTTAATTATTTAGTGCTGCTATAATGGAAATACCATAAATGGGTGGCTTTAACAAACAGAAATTTGTTCTCTCACAATTTAGGAGGCTAGAAGTCTGAATTAAGGATATTCACTTCAGGGGAATGCTTTTTTTCTCTGTCAACTTTTGGAGATGATCCTTGTTACAGTCTTCCCCTGGGATAAGAGTTTCTCAGTACATGAAACCATGTCAGTAAACTCAGACTAATCCAATTTTATATTCCTTGCACCATTATCACACATCCTTGATAGCCATTCCCATACACATTTTCCAGGTTTCTGTTTATGCATATTAGAAAAATCAGACAGTTCTTTTGGAGAGTAGTATACCTCTTCCTGGGTCACACTTTATATCTCACCTTTTGGGGCTTACTGGGACTTAAATCTAATTATAGGTATAGAAGCAAAAGTAGGTGGTGAGGATGGGTCCTGAGAACATACAGCAATGTCTTTTAAGGCATCTGCGTCAGGTGCTGCCCCAGGTGCTACCCCAGGCAATAGGTCAGACAAAGACTTATCAGGCACAGCTGAGTTAATCTCATCCTATGGGGCTGAGAGATCTGATTCTGTTGGCAGGAGTGAGTCAACAGAATTTAGGGGCTAAATTTCCCCAGCTTTCTGATTATCTGCCCATATGTCCCCATTCCAAGTTTCAGGATCCCATTTCTTTCCAATCAATGCCCTCACTTTAACTTCAGACATGATTCCAAGTTGGGAATTCAAATGGTGTTGTTGTTCAATCCCACTTAATGATAAGACTTTGTGTTTGTTTTTCAGTAATACCAGCTCTTTTACTATGAGGAATAAGGCTTTCCTTTAGGGCACAAGTGGCAAATTTCATTTCCTGTGTGTGATGCTTCTGTCTCTGAAATCCTGATCTCATCTCTTTCTTTTACCACTTTGCCTAGTGAAATAGGACCAATCAGCCAACTTCCCTAAACTTCATATTCTGACAAAACTAGAAAAGTTTCAAACATGCAATCACCCAGAGACCTGCTTCTAATCACTACTTGATCTATTGGTGCTCATAATTTTCATATTAATATTGCCACCTCATGCCATGGATTAGCAGCACCCTCTTTACTAATGGAGTCAGAGTCATCAGCACCTTTAAGACTAGTCAGACTTGAGAATGAATTTTTAAATCTTTATGATTTTGTTTCTCTAGAATCACTCTCGGTACTAAATGTCTTAGGCTGCATTCTCTAGAGAACCAAAAGCAGTGAAGCTTATGTATGTATGTATGTATATGTGTATATATATACAGTGAGTGAGAGAGATTTATCTCAAGGAAATAGCTTATGTAGTTGTAGAGTTTGGCAAGTACTAAGTTTGTGAATCATTCGTCAGTCTGGAGGCTTCTTCTGAGTCATGTAGCTGCTGGCTAATGAATCCAATATTGACAGGTCAGATGGCAGGCTGCTGTCCCATGGGCTGCAGAGGCTGAAAATCCATTATTGACAGTTAAGATGGCAGGCTGCTATCTCACAGGCTAGGAGGCTAATGAATCACAAGATTGGTGGGCAATATGGCAGGCCATTGGCTCACATTCCAAGAACTGGAGTCAGATGATGATGAGCAAAATGCAGCCTCCAGAGCAAGGAAAAGGCCAGAGTGCTTAGACAGAATGTCCATATATACTGGATGCAGGCCACACTCCTGAAGAAACTTCCTTTCAATTGATTGCTCATAGCAGATCTCATCATGGAGGTAATTAATTTTATCAGATCTTATCTTGGAGGTGATTACTTTATATTAGATCACAAAATGGGGGATGATTACATCATTACATAACTACCAAACTACTTTATAACTGCCAAACCACTGAGAATCATGGCCCAGCCAAGTTGACCCATACCCTTAACAATCCATCATAGTATTTTCTATTGCTTCATATGTACCGCAAAATCTGGATAATGAATAAGGAAGACTGAAGAAGAGTTGATGCATTTTGAGTTTTGGATCTTGGCTGAAAGCAAAAAATACCAGAATGATATTTACTTATGTTTTATTGACTGTGCAAAAGCATTCAGTTGTGTGGATCATAACAAATTATAGATAACATTGAGAAGAATGGGAATGCCAGAACATTTGATTGTGCTCATCAGGAACCTGTACACAGACCAGGAAGCTATTGTTCAAATAGAAGAAGGGAATACTGCATGTTTTAAAATCATGAAGGGAGTGCATCAGGGTTGTATCCTTTCACCATACTTACTCAATCTGTATGCTGAGCAAATAATCCGAGAAGCTGGACTGTATGAAGAAGAACGTTATCAGGATTGGAGGAAGACTCATTAACAACCTGTGATACGCAGATGACACTGATGAAGATTAAAGACTACACTCCACAGTATGGATTACATCTCAACGTAAAGAAAATGAAAATCCTCACAAATGGACCAATAAGCAGCATCATGATAAATTGAGAAAAGATTGAAGTTATCAAAGACTTCATATTACTTGGTTCCACAATCAACACCAGTAGAAGCAGCAGTCAAGACATCACATGACGTATTGCACTGGGCAAATCTGCTGCAAAAGACCTCTTTAAAGTGCTGAAGATAAAAGATGTCTCCTTGAAGACTGAGGTGCGCCTAACCCAAGCCATGGTATTTTCGGTCACCTCATATGCATGTGAGACCTGGACAGTGAACAAGGAAGACTGAAGAAGAGTTGATGCTTTTGAGTTGTGGTGTTGGCAAAGAATACTGAAAGTGTCATGGACTGCCAAAGGAATGAGCAGACAGTAGAATGCTCCTTGGAAGCAAGAAAGGCCAGACTTTGTCTCACCTAGTTTGGTCATATTGTCAGAAGGGACCACTCCCTGGACAAGGATATTATACTAGGTGAAGTGGTGGGTCAGCGAAGAAGGAGAAGGCCCTCAACAAGATGGATTGACACAATGGCTATAACAATGGGTTGGTTCAAACATAGCAATGATTGTGAGAGTGGTGCAGTACTGGGCAGTATTTTGTTCTGTTGTACATAGGGTTGCTATGAGTTGGAGCTGACTCAGTGGCACCTAACAGCAAAAATGGGTTGGAAGTGCAAATCCAAGGTACTCTTATGGTCACTGCCGACCATGCAGGAGTGGAGATGCTCATTACCAGCTAGTAGAGATGAAAGTCCTGGCTGCTCATTTGGCCTTCTTTGACATCAACCCAGTGGGGGTGTTTGGATACGTCATCACTGCCTTAGGAGGTTGGAAGTATATGCTCTTTACAGAGCCTTTGCTGGTGTGGGTGGGGATGGAGCCACAATATCTTCTGTTCTGCCTGGCTAGAGAACAACAGTTACTGTCTAAAAGTTTTGTATCTTTATAGGCTGCCATTTGCTGAATTCTTTGGGTTAAGAGAAGAGGATTTTGTTAGGGCTTTTTTTTTTTTCCAGTCGAAATCTGAAATACATGAAGCAAAAAGAAAACCCACTGCTATGTTTTTCCTCAGGTTCCAGGGTCCCTAGCTGTTCTGCTTTCTTCTCTCTACCTCTCTGGGTTTTCTTATATTTGTTTAATTTATAGTATCTAGGACTTCTGTTCTAATTAGTGGGAGGAATAAGGAAAAATGTATCTACTTCTTCTCATTAGAAGTACAAGTTGTCTTTTCCTTGTAATCTAATAATGGTAACCCTTTACACTGAATCTTTATTCTGGGTATCTCTTCTTATATAAATTGAATACACCCACTCTTACTCACTTGGAGATGAACTCATATCTGGTATAATTAGGAGGAGCTGTTGGTTTCCAGTGCTCACCTATTCTTTGTTCTATCTAGTCATTAGATCTGTTCATCTTTTTATCAGAGTAAGTGATTTAGAGTTGAAAATTTTCTTTCTTTCTTTTTTTTTTTTTATTGTGATTTGGGTGAAGATTTACAGAGCAAATTCACTTTCCATACAGCAGTTTACATATACTTTGTCTCATGTCATTGACCACAGTTTACCACAATGCAACAGCTCCCCTCCCACTTCCTCCCCATAGTTACCTCTTCCCAGTGTCCATCCCTCCATACACTCCTGCACCCTGAGCTGTCTCCCTGTGCATAAGCAGCCCTTCTTTCTCCCATGATTATTCTCTCCAAGGAGTATATCTACTTGAGGTAAATGTTTAACTCATATGCCTATATTTTGTTTGGCTGGAAACCACAGGTGTGGGTTCAATTCTAGACCTGAGAAATTTTTCTTATACTGCTTTAGCCATAGATTAATGTAAGAAATTTATCTATAATAGTTTACTAATATTTTATTTTTGAAAATAATTAAGAAACTCAAAGTACTATTTTTTTTTTTCATATAGGGATTGAAGAAAATTTCAGGTCTTTTTATTTAAAACAATTAAAAGAAAATATAGAAGAGGATGTGAAAAGTTTAAAGGTAGGTAATATAACAAAAGCTGAAAATCTTAACATGTCAAAATACATCAATCATGAAAACCAAAGCAATGTAACTTGTTACTGAGTTTTGAGGTAAGCTAGCTTGGTAAACAAATAAAACAAAATGAGCATTTTTGAGCAAGTATCAAGTTGGCATGCTGGCCCTTTCCTCCATCAAAACTTATGAAATGAGAGAAAATACTATAGCAATATGAAAATAAAAGAACAATATCACAGGAAAAGAATGGAGAGTACCACAGGTGGATCAGCCATTTTTGGGGAATTCTTGAAAGACAGAAAGCTAATAGAATTATGTCTGTTGAGATAGATAATAGAAAAAAAATAAAAGAAAAAGTTTACCCAAAACATAATGATTAGGAAGAAATAAGAGCAAGTCTTGAGCCAACGTATAGAAGAAACAGCATGGTCAACTGGGAAATGGACAAGGAAAGTCATGTGAGAGCCACATTTATGCCAACTAGAAAGGTGTTTCCTCCTCCTGTTGCTCTGCCCTGAGCAACTGATGGCAGCAGCATCTGCCTAGGGCTGAAGCAATGGGCTTGGTATCCAGGGTCCAAAAGGTGTGTCAAACTCCAAGGACCACCTAACTCTAGAGGAACAGAGACTTCACCCACATACACAATCGGGAAAGATGATACTGCTATAACTCTTCGAGCAACAACCCCCATAACCATGAAAGGCAGACTAAGGTAAATAAAACAGGCAGGCAAAGAGAATTTTTAAAATCCAAAAACAACCAAAACAAACGAAACAGACTTTGAGGGAATCCTCTACTGTAAAAGAGAAGTACCCAGTGCGAACCAAGGCAATGCAAGGAATATCAGGCAAGATAGACATTAAGGCAAAAAAGTATCACTACAATCAGGATTACTCTATAATGATAAAACATTTATTCACAGGAAGATAATAACAGCTTTAGGTCTAGATAAGTCCTTGGTATCCTGGCCTTAAAATATACAAAGCAAAAATTGACAGAACTCAGTTATTGCTGAAGGCATACAGCTTTCTACTGTTTATGGTGATGTAAAACTTTTGGAAATAGTGGTGATGATAGTATACCATTGTTGGTGTTGTTATGTGCTGTCAAGTCAGACCCGACTCATAGCGACCCCTCCTTGGGTTTCTGAAGTGGTATCACTACAGAAGTAAATTGCCCAACCTTCCTTCCAAGAAGTAGCTAGTGGGTTTGAACCACCAGCCTTCTGGTTAACAGTCAAGTCCCTTAGGCACTATGCTACCAGAGCTCTTATACCATGGTGAATGTAATTAATGCCTCTTAATTGTACACATAAAAATAGTTAAAACTTCTTGTTGCACATATTTTTTTTGTTATACATATTCTTAAAAAAATTAGAGAAGAAAAAGACAAATCTACAGTCAAAGGTGGAGATTTTAATGCAAATCTCTCTTCAATTGATAGAACAGTCAAAAAATCAGTAAAGATGTAGAAAATTTGAAGAACATGATTAACAGATTGACTAAATGGAAATATATAAAACACTACACCTAATAACTGTAGAATACCTACTTTTAAAGGCTTTTCAAGAACATGCAGAACATTTAAAAAAATTAACCACATACTGGGAAATCAAATGTCTCCACCAGTTTAAAAGGTTTGTAGTAATATAATGTTTTCTGTAATCAGAGGATGTTTTTGACTATTTTTCAAATATGCTAGAAATTAATAACAAAAAGATAATTAGAAAAACTCCACGTGCTTAGAAGTTAAGAAATTACTTTAAGAAATCCCTTGAGTCAAAAAGAGATCAAAGTAGAATTTAAAAATACTTTGAATCTAACAAAAACACTACCTATTAAAAATTGTAGAATACACTTTGCAAAGGAGTGCTTTGTTGTATAGTCTTAAATGTATATATTAGAGAAGACAAAAGGCTGAAAATTAATATTCATCTTAAGAAGAGAGCAAAACCCGGAGGGACCGAGTAGTTGAACCTGTGGGCTTGGGACCATAGTCGCAGGGGACATCAAGCTCAATTGGCATAACATACTGTACAAAACATTGTTCCACCTCCTACTTTGGCAAGTAGCGACTGGGATCTTAAAAGCTAGCAAGCTGCCATCTAGATGCAACAATGGGTCTCTCCTCGT